CCTCCACACTCCATACTTATACTGCTCTTCTCCGACGATGACGACTTCGGTTAATAAGTAGCTTCCTCCTACCGTTGCAATCCTAACTCTACGTTCCCGTCTCTTATTTCTTACATTGTAATTATAATCACCATATAAATTTCATCATTGTTTCATTACTATTCAATAGTAATTATTGTTTTTTTTTTAATTTATCCAGAATAAAACAAAAATTGTAGAATTATATTTTTTTGCTATGTAATCAATAATAAAGTTGTTTGTCTAAATATTCTAAAGTCAATAAATTTTAATACTAAACATGGTTTTATATTAGCCAAAATGTTCCAAGTAAAATTTACTTCTACTAAGTACTATAATGTCAGAAAAGCACATTTATATGGTAATATGTCTACAGTAATGAAAGCTTGTCTAATATTCTCTGTAATATTTAAAATATTAATCATGGAAATAATTTTAAAATTGTTGGTCAAATTAAAACTTATTTAAATTACTCTAATATAAAACAAAGCTTAAAAAAGTATGATATAATTGAAATTCAAAAATTTGTGATAAATAATTATTTTATCAACAATTTTAAATCGCACTAATGGTGGAAATTTAAAATAATCGTGTTTGTTCTAAAAACTGATTTAAATAATGATAAATATTTTATTGGAGGGGGGAGAATTTCTTGAGTAGACATGATGCGGCAAAGTTTTGCTAGGAAGAGTTTTACTTTTGATAGAATCACTTATGGTAAAGTTGTAGATATGCCATCAGAATGTGATCTAATACTTGATAAGTATTTAAATTTTTCATTCAAAATTTCCATATGCATCTAGATCTATGTATCCCTGTGAATAACAAAAAAAAATCGTTAATTTAATAACATAATAAATAAAATTCATCCAAAAATTTAACATACCATGACAGAAACATTCGTCTTGAGATAAAAATCTTAGTCACTACAAGAATGTTTCGACAAAAGTAACATCTTTTTAAAAAATAAGTTTTCCAGTCCTAAGTAAATTACCATAAAAATAAAGGCATGAAAACTCAACAAGCAGTAATTGACAGAGTATTCTGTGAGTGTATCATCGTAATTGTACATATATGACGAAATAAATGTTAACAACAGATAAACAGAATATGTGCGTAAAGAATAACGCACATTAAGCTACGTGAGTGGGAGTAGAGTAAAAGAAAATAGCTTAGAGTGCAAGAAGCTACGTCGCGTGCTATCCTCGTTCTTGAATCCTGGCTCCCTCGCCTCAGCATGCCCCTTGCAACTCACAACTCGTAGTATAGCTTCATGCTCTTCTCTTCTACTTCCCAATCCACCATGCTATCCAATCTCATTCGCGGCCCTGATGGCTCGCGCGCATCGCATCGTCGTTTGTGTACGTCCTCTCTCGCCCCTCGGGTCCCGCATAGCAGTTCAACCGATCCCGTATTCCTCTTTCGTCGTCACCCGCGCTACGCTACCTCAAGGCATCCCTCTTTCGCTCTTGGCGCGTGCCCCTGCCCCTTTGGTTTGCTTTCAGTCCTTCGACTATCGCACATACATATTTCTTATTTTCCTCTTCTCTACCTTTCACCTCCTCTATCTCGGTCTCCGTCTGGGTCTTGGTCCCTCATTGTTTTTTGGCTCTCTTTCTATTCTCTTTACTTGCTAACTCCCACCTTCCACCTTAAATACGCTCTTTTACTCAACATTCTACGTCTTTCTTGGTGGACTGTCAGTAGAGTGCAGGTTAGGCAGACAGAGTAGAGAGTCTAAGTATTATATATATATATCTCGTCGCCATCAGGACGGGTTAGGGGAAAAGGGGGGCCCTCCTCGTCTCGGTTACTCCGCGCGTAAGCCGCGCGCGCATACCATCCCAGATGCTTCACTTCGTTCCGTATAGTACTTCTTCTTTCTATACTTATATTACTCTGTATATAATCCGACTTTTCTGCGGATTCGTATTATATACATACTTCGCATAATATAAGTAAGTATGGGTACTTAATGTATTGTAACATCCAATACAATAATCTTGGTTTTCTGCACATGACCATGTGACCATGTGCATCCACTTTGTGGTGAGTTCGCTTACTTACACTACGGATTATAGGACAACACTCAAGATTATTTTAACACTAAATTAGCATTTTTTTTACTATTTTTATCATTATGGCTTTTAAAGTTAATAGTCTCGGCTTCTATTGTATTATCTTTACTTACTCGTTAGACAGATATACTCGCTTTATTCCATTGTTCTATTGATACTTTCCAGTCATATTGTAACCAAATTGTTTCAAGGTTGTCGAAAAGATAAACCAAAATATGTAAGTGACTTAAATATTTGTTAACGATTAGATGTCTTCTCGAATTTTTAAACTCTCACGACATGAAAACGCTGTCGGCTGATATGTGATGGTTTATCTGATCTAGATATATAAATAATATTTAATAGCTTAAACTTTCTACTATTTATGACCTTGATACAACAATATATGTACAACAACTTTTCTTAGATTTTCAACACAGTGCATATAATAGAGACGATTTTTAATTTAAGACTATCCACAACAAAGGAAGAGTTATTTCAATCGTAACCAGCAGTTGATTTCTTGAGAAATTAAAACAAAATTATTATGTATTTTTTTTACACGATTTCAACGACTGCTGAGTAATCAATGATACAAAAGTGTGTTGCACGTGTAATATGTGTACAAATGTTGTTATATATAAAGTCTAAGTTATAAAAAAAGATCATACAGTACTGTAGTATAATGAAAAATTAAATTAATTTAAATATTGCATAATTCTAGGTACAGATCGGCTATTACAGCTCCATCAACGATCTGGGGGAATAAAGAGCGTTTGAGAAAGAAGTGAGACAGAGATAGAGGGAGTTTGAACGGACGATAATGAGAAGTTAGGCCAATAAATATTATTACTAGTTTGCATTTCCGGGAGTCGAGAAGGTTGGGTCAGTATTACCTGCTTACTTGCTGCCTGTCTACTGACTTTACTTCTATTCCATCTTTCCATGTATAGTGTGTACCTACATCCACTTTACAGAGTGGAGTCCATTTCAGTTTTTCAATAATTATTAGTCAACATGCAGGTCACATAATTTTTTATTTCTATTCCTGTTAAACATGAAATATTATTAAATATACAGTTAATTATATTAAATTATAGTATGTACTCAACTTAATTAAATATTGTTTAATTCTTATCATTTGTTATGATTGCGATTAGCTATTTTTCAAAATAGCTAAGAATGTTGATACATTAATATGATATCGATCAAGCGCATAATATCGCTGTTGTCAGCTGCCAGATTGAATATAATGACGTATATCGACATTGACATGTTTGTAAATGGTGCTTGTTGCGCCATCGACGTGTTTCTTTTTTTGTAAATAAATCCACAGTACATTAAATTTTGTTGTATATAGATATCTATGCGTTTACACTCAACTTTGAAGTAGATAAAGAAACTTTTTATTACTTTATATTTCTTCCACATTCTTATTCTTTATTGTTTATCAATTTTTTGTTTTTATTCGTTGCTGATCGCTGAAATAGAAATAAAAGATGAAAAGATCTCATTACAATATAGTTTAAAAATTTTACATTATATTTATAATTATAGTACCTGCATTAGTCATTTTTGTTGGCTTAATCTTTTCATTGTATGAATGATTTAATTGTTAACTTTATTGGATAGCTTAGTAATTAACAATTGATATTTAACAAAGTTAATAATTGAATAGTTATTGTTTAATTTTAAAATTGAGAATTTCATAAGTGAGTAATCAATTTCGTTGAAATAAATTTATAAAGAATATTAATACATATATAAAGCAAAGTTAAGTTTTCGTTTTTATACTTCAAGTGTGATAAGATAACACTGAAAAAATAATAATTATTATATACACACTCATTATTCGTATTAATAATAAATTTAAATTAAATTTATTATCGACTCGACACATTATTATCGAGTTTTTTTTCTATGTACTATCGATTTTTCTGATTATATTAAGTTGGTATTAATCGTATGTACATATGTATATTGTAAATTTATTATGTATTGCAAATTTGCGATTATCGAATCGATTACCATGACTCGATTGTCTAAGCGCCTGCGTTTAAATTATATTCTTATTGTTATTGAAATTTAATAACAATAATGTTTATTTTCTTTAATTCTCACACTTACATCATACTTAGTAAATATCTTTTGGGCAATTCCTGTAATTATAAAACTATTAACTTCAGTCATAATTACTATTAACTGTAATGAATCATTTTTACAATTTCAATAATAATTATTAAATATATTATTCTACTTAATAGTAATAAATAAATAAACAAAATTGACTATAAATAAATAAAAAAATTGTTAAATGGTGGTTAAGTTCTGTGTCAAAAAAATGTTAAAAAGTAAATAATATATCTTTTTACTTTACGCCTCAAGGAAAATAATTTTCGTAACAAAAGTATACGAGTAATTTTGCGAAGATGAATAAAATATACGTAATATTTTCTGAAGAATTGCTTGAGTGAATATGAAGAAATAAATAAATAATGTTAAAGTCACAGCAATTTCTTTTGTGAATTAACATTCTAGTACACAACGCCATCAGGCGATAGAAAAATAAACTTATTTCCATGTGACGTGATCGGCGGTCAAATGAATCTCAAAAGTAATTAATTAAATTAACAAATTATATTAACAGAAATTATTAAATTACTTGGAAAACTGATGGACTGAACTGAAAGGAAATATTTGTTTCTTTAGGTAATTCCCCTCACACAGCACACACAGCAATAGAGGTCGATAAGACAGAACGTAATTCAAGCTCCATCTACTTGGGCTTGTTTTAACAGCTGATCAACAGTCGTCACTTTCTTTTATTTTTATTTAAATAACAGTTGACCATAACCTTTCTCAAAAATTAAAACAACTGCTCATTCATATTTTTATAAAAATACAATAATAAATAAATATACTAATATGTTTGCTATGACTGCGAGGCTGGCGTTCATCGCTCGTGGATTTGCAAGCACTGCTAAAGATATTCCTAATTTAGTCAAAGTAAGTTAGATTATTTACATACATTATTGTTTTTTTTTTTTTTTTTCTAAGATCTATAAAAGCTTATCAATTATTGCTTACAATAGAATGTTGTAAAACAATAAAAATAAGTAATTGTCATTTTTTAGCAAAACAAAGTTGTGGTATTTATGAAAGGCGTACCTGAAGAACCTAGATGTGGATTCAGTAATGCTGTTGTGCAAATATTCCGTATGCATGGTGTTAAATATGATGCACACGACGTACTTGCTAGCGACGAACTCAGACAAGGTATTTTTTGATTATTAATAATTTTAGAAAATTTTTTTCTTTATTAATAAATTTATAATTTTTTTATAAGTATAAATAACATTAGAAGAATAAAAATCTTACAAAAATATATGTTAATCTGTAATATAATATTATTCTGTTCAGGTATCAAAGACTTTTCAAATTGGCCGACAATACCACAAGTTTTCATAAATGGAGAATTTGTTGGGGGGTGTGACATATTACTCCAGATGCATCAAAGTGGTGAATTAATAAAAGAGTTAGAAAAAGCTGGTCTAACAAGTGCTCTTTCAAGTACAGATAATGCAGGCGATTCTTCAAAGAAATAATCAATACAAATCCCAATTTTCAACAGGCTTGTACATAATTTCCGATATTATAAACTAGTCTCATTTTGTTTATAAAATAAAAAAAAAAAAAATAAATAAATTCAAACAGATAATTGTAAAAAAGAAATCAGATTTTTTGCAACTCTCGACGTAAAATTTTACCCGCAGCACTTTTCGGAATTTTATCAATTAGAACAACGTGACCAAGTTGTTTGTATTTAGCAACACGTTTAGCAACGTAATCCTTTATTTCTTGGCCATCAATTAACATGTTTGCTTTTGGTACTATAAAAGCTTTTGGAATTTCCCCGTATCTTTCATGCGGCACACCTATAACTGCTGCATCAGCTATTTTTTCGTGACCCTGAATAATATCTTCCAGTTCCGCCGGTGCCACCTGGTAACCTTGAACTTTTATCAACTCTTTGAGTCGTCCTCGTATGTACAAATGTCCTTTAATCAATAAATTTTATTATTTCAAATTCATAAACCATTCTCAACCAGTAATCAATCGAGACTTTATCTACGACCCATTAAACTCAGCAATTAAATCAAATGAACGTACCTTTGTCGTCAAAAGAACCTAAATCACCGGTTTTAAACCAATCACCTTCCATAGTACCAGCGGTAGCTTTTGGATTTTTAAAATAACCTTTCATGACTTGCGGGCCTCGTACAAAAATTTCACCCGTTTCATCAACTCCCAAATTATTTCCTCTATTATGTTCTTCATGCCCAACGATGCGTACTTCAGTATTCGGCACTAAAATTCCTGATGACTCAAGTGGAGCGCTTACACTTTTAGATATCACCGGGGAAGTTTCCGTGAGGCCGTATCTAAAAATAATGTTTTAGAATCACATTGATTATTAATGGTTTAATTACTATTAAATGTACTGGTGATTTATTGACGCATTTGATTACCCTTGGGCAAAGTTTACTTGGGTACCAACACGATTTAAAAATTTAGCAATCACTTCCTCGCCAGTCGGTGCTGCTCCACATGTTATTAATTTAATACTCTCTACATGACGTTTCGTAAATCGATCATCATTTGCCAGCATCTGAACAATTGGGGGTGCCACGTACATAGATGTTATTTTGTGTTTATTCATTACCTCTAATAATGCTGTTGATGAAAATGATGGCATACAGATTACTTTTCCTCCTAAACTGTTCATTTTTGTTTTAATTTATTTTTCCATTAATTTATTAACGTACTAAGTTATAATTACATACCCAAGATAATTAAGCATACAAACTACTAAGCCAAAAATATGATAAATAGGTAAAAATACAGGTAATATTTCTTGATGATCGATCCCTTGCGCCCCACCGAGACGATCCAGTACACGGTGTAGGCGGCCGGGGGGCCCGTGGAGAGGAGGTTAAAGAAGAACAAAGAAGAGCCAGCGTGCTTTAGTCACAGGTAGTGGAGGAATATTTACATATATTATATACATACTTATGTATATAGATTTATATGTATATATGTACAAACAGAGATCGCGGGTGCCAGGGAACGGTCAGTAACTGAGTGAGAAGTTTTATGCCAATAAATACATTAAAAAACACGCTTTGGTATTTCCGACTTTTCTATTTCTTCTTTATTAATTTATTAGTTAGCTAAACCTTAGAAGTCAATTATTTCTTTATTTCATTTTGTTAAAATATTATTTTTGTTAAATTACTCATTTTTTTTTATTTTGTTAAAAACTATTCAATTAATTTTGTAACAAATAACAATTAAGTCAATTTTTTTAATGAAAATGAAGTTAGCTGACATTTCAAAATTTTTAGAAATTTTTTATTGAAAAAATTTCAATTAAACAATTAAAAAAAAAAATTGTCACATGTAAAAAACTTGAAAAACTATAAGTGCAATTTTTTATAAATATCTTTTTAGTTGTAATTTAATTAATAAAAAAAATCAAAAATTTTTACACGTCTTCTAACTTCAGTGTCATTTTTTTAAAATTAATTTCATTAAAGGATTATTAAATTATTTATTGTGATGAAAAAAAAAAAAATGAATTCTTTTTTAATTTTCTTAAAACTATACTCTTTTTTTATTTTATTAAAAATGATTATATTATTAATCTTATAAAATATAATTGAATTGTTTATCTAACTTTAAATTTAAAATAAGACTTATTACATACATTATATATATTAAATTAATGATGTTATGTATGTATCTGTTTTTTCTCTCAGTCAACATGACCTCCGTTATGTTTTTTTTTTTAATAAATATCCATATAACCACACTATAGATGTAACATTAAATTATTTTTTTCGTTGTAAGATAAATTGAAAGTCTAATCGCTCGAGGCTGTAATACAACTTATCTTTAAATACAAAATTAATAATCAACTAATCGATATATTTACTTGAGCACGAGTAATTCTGACGTCAGGCGGTGATGTCTAGCACACGACCAATGATCATGATCATTCTTATTCCCCCTCTCTTAATAAATCAACTACATACATATCCATATCCACTACATTACATTATATTGCTCACTCAACATCACTGCCATTTTCTATATTATATCGTTACATATATCACATATCTTTATACATATATAAAACTGTTTAGACTACTCGTATCACACAATTATGACGCGTTAATCGAGCGTTTCCTCAAGCCGCATCAACACTATATACTACAATACACTTGATACTAAATACTGACGATTGCTGTGGACATGCCCGTAAAACTAAAATTAAGTCGAGTTAATATAACCAGCTTGTATTATTTATTTATTTATTCTACATCATGTTCTTAATAACGATACGAATCGTATATCGTTTCATTGTAATTATATATATATATAATAAAATATTCATACTGACAATAACCATCTCAATGCCGCTCTTTTACAGATTTTTAACCCATTAAATTGTAACGTCAACTTTATTGGGCAAACTCTTGGACATAAACCTTCATTCCTTCATCACTTGAAAATTTTATCCTTACACCACCGAGGATATTATTTTTTTGCTTATTCAACCGGCACAAGTCTTTGTTTTATAACGTCATCATAAAAAATATACAATGAAATAATTTTTTATGCATATATATAAATGACGGATGACTAATTTGTTTGAAAACAAATTGGTTGTTATATAAAAACACTGAGAGAAGGAATCACTTGTAAAGATATTTTCTTTTGTTATAAATTATATTAGAATATTAAACAAGATTATTTAAATTAATTTGATTTTTAATCATAAAAAACTGTAAAATTAATTAAATTTTTTTAGAGTAAAAAATTTGTCATTGAAATTCTCAATTTATTTGAAATTAATTAATTTTTATTTTGTTTCTCTTAAAAATTTTAGTATTTTATGGCTAAATGCATCCGGAGTTATTGATCTAAGCAATTACTTAAATTTAATTTCAATCGAATACAATATCACAAATAGAGTAGATATATTTACTCAATAAATATTTGTTTTAAACAATTGTTTACATATTTAAATAAAATGTCCATAAAAGTTTTATAGTATTATTTTTCTCGGGAAAGTGCAATCAATTATCGATTAATAACAATTTAACATGATATATCAGTGAATGTAAACAACTTACAAAAATATCTTAAAACAACCTCAACAATTATCTTGAAAGAAGAAATAAAAATCTAAACATAGATCAATAGTTATAATTATCTATTATCTACAATATCTGTAGCAAGTAATTTCTCACAATATATGTCATTGGATAAAAATGACTAACAGAACAAAAATAATTTACAATATTATATCCACACAATGTAATGTATATATAAATAATAGTGTCGAAGAGAGTTTATTGAGATACGCAATATGTGCCAGTTAAAAAGTATACGGTGGGGGTCAAGCTGTCGTCATAGCGACGACGTAGGGTGAGGAATTCTGTGGAATAGACAACCAAGAAGAAAACCTACTCGCTCTTTTTACTCTCATTTTTATTTTTTTTTTATCTTTATCTCTTCTCCCATCAATACGCACTTGCATATCTTTATATTTATACATATGTATAGGAAGATGATGTATAATTGATCATCACATTACACGAACTTTATTTTAAGAGTGGAGCATGTATTTGCCAGTAGCCTTGCTCGCAATTATAAATTTTTATTCATATAATTTCTCTTGAATTCTGATTTTAAAAATAATAATATTTAATCTTAAATAATTTTTTTGAAAGTATTTTACTATACTTTTAAATCTGATGAGTCGAGACACGTAATAAGAATATGCATATATATGCTTAAACTTCTATGAGTCGTTACACTGCGGTAAATGTAAACCCGTTAGAAATTAATCGGGGCCAGGCTACTGATGGCTTTGCTTCTTATTCTACTGTTGTTAGTTTGCTGTTGCTGCACGGAAATCCAAGTGTACTCCAAACTCTGCTATTACTATTACTATTACTATTACTCCAGCAACAAACAACAACATGAACAACAACAACAACAACTACAGTAGCAATACAAATACACTTTTACATGACAGTATCACTTACGTACTATACACTTACACAATAAACTTCGGAATTTACACTTACATACAAATAATGATTGAGACACGCGCATGGGAAACCGCGGGGCATACGTGAAAGTAAAGAAAGTGGGCCGCGTAAGAACTTTTCGAGCTATAACTCTACTACTAGAAGAAGAATAAAAAGAAGATAACACTGTGACAGATTTTTAATTAATCATCCGCGCATATTTTCATTTGCATCATACATTTTATTTAATTTATTGAATAATTTAAGATTAAAAAAAAAAGAAGAACACGAAGAAATACTTATCGTCCGTTAACGCTGTAGTGTAATTACAATTACAGTTACATTATAGTATTTTTTATTAAAATCCTGTATTACTGAACTAGTCCTGGTATAGTACTATTGCTTGCACAAAGTTTCATCCTAATTCTCATTGGTGCGGTTAATCCTGGCGCCTCGTCAACACTGTAGAGTATACAACTCGTTTCTGTAAAGTGTCGTTAGCTTGGATTGCGGGCACTTGGAATCTTGCCAACTTTTTTTTCTTCTTTGGCTCTTTTTTTACTCAGGTTCTTTCTCTCTAAACGCTTTCTCTTAGTGATACAGTAATTGCTAAATACGATTGAGGAATCTCGATGAACAAAGGCTAATTTACTTCTTTAACTGGCAATTAACTGCTTTTATTTTATTATTTATTATTTTTACTGTTATTATTTATTATTGTTACTATAATTATTATTGTTGTTGTTGGGTTTGATTTTGTCAGTGATTTTAAATTATTTATTTATTTATTAAGTTAATTAGCTAATTACGATGTTATTGTAAAAAGAGAAAAAATGTGAAATAGAAAATGAACTATTTTTCATACTCAAAAGTTTATATACTTAAAGTCGTTAATGGTCGCGAGAAAAGCTTCATAAAACTTTCTCACTGGGAAGTTATTTTGTGCATTACCTTAGTTTTATGCCGTAAAAATATGTACTCGTAAATATTTCCAAAGTGTACCTATAAAAATTCTTAAAATAATACTATGTATGTAATATCCAGATATTTAAATATTTATCCTCTTATAAAAATAATATGAATTTAAAATATCAAATTAATTAAACTTAAATTTTTATTTTCATAAAAGTTTAATTCAATGAAGAATTACATTAATTAAAAAATTTTAAGTCAAGTTTTTGAAAAAAAAATATATATGCATACATATATATATATATATATATATATATATATAAAACTTTTATTTGCATGTGAACTGAAAACTCGGATGACAATTTTAAATGAAAAAATTTATACAGAAAGAAAAATTTCTTGACTGGAGAACAAAATTCTTGGCTCAAGTAAATTTTCCGGAGTAAAAATTTTTCTTGAAATTCTATTCTTGGTGGAAGTAATTTTTTCTTAATTCAAATTATCATAAATACTTGATACAATAAATTTTTATATTTGATCAAGATTTTTAGATACTTTAGGGAAGCAGCGCCACCTACTTCAGCTGAGAAAAAACTTATCTCATCTTGAGAAAATTTTTCTCTTGAATATTTGATACCTATTTTAGATCATTTTAGCGCGCAATTATACATATTGAATGAAAAAAAAATGATTCAATTCAAATATTAATGAAAATTTACTATCAAGATATTTAATTTTTTGGAGCAAGAGAAAAATTTTCTCAAGAGAAGAA